AGTCATTTGTCCCTTTCCTACGGACATTCTACTGTTTAACAATCATAAATACTAATTAAGTCCTATATTTAAATACTTTAAGTTTTACATTATAATTAAACCCTTATATTAATGTATTAAGTCATATATGGAAGAACTGACTACACAGTTAGAAATACAAAAGAGGTCTACTCTTAAAGTATATATAAAATGCAGAGCACCACTGAAGTAGTCACCTTAAGGCTTGTAGCCGCCGTCTTGTGGATTCTGTGATTCTTGGTGATTTAGATTCTCCAAATCCTGAGAGATGCGAATTTGCACTTGAATGTCTCATTTGAGGTTTATGTCTTGGAGAGGCATATGGCCAGCGTGTTTCTTTCAACTTTTCTTCATCCCCTTGAATGTCCTTCAAAATCTTCCCCTTGTTTGAGGGAATATATGGAGTACGAAGATCAAAAGGTTCACAGACTGTAAGGTGTTTCACTTGTTTTTGTTGCAGGAGCCGTTTCTGAAACTTCTGGTGTAGTAGTTCAAAATCTGGAACACTTGATTTGATCTTGGGTTTATGTTCTGTTTCCTGTGGTTCAATGCACTTGTGTTTCTTCTTTTTATTGGTATCTTTTAAAGCCAGTCTGCTGGTGGGTAGAGATGAATTACGTAGCAACTCTTCAGCTCTCATTCTGATCCTGATTTCTCTGCAGAGCTCTTCCTCCCTTAGCTTTTCGTTAACAGATGGACTATAAACACATTTAGGAACTGGTTTTGCTTTAAACAGGTTTGTTATCATTTCAGGTGCAGAAAGGTCTCTTAATTGCATTTTCCTAATTTCATTCCTTTGCTTCTCTCGTTCAAGGAATTTAAATGGCTTCTGAGAAGCCAAGAGCTTGAGTTTGCTTCTCTCTTTCACAGACCTCCTGCGTTCTTCGTTTCGTTGCAGGATTTCATGGTAGAGTGGAAGGAAAACAGCAGCAGGCACTGGATTGGCTCGGAATTTTTTCTGACACTCTGCTTCTTCCTCTAGTTGCTTCTTCAGTAAGTTGTTTTCCATTTCAATCTGTGACTTTGATTTGACATTCTGTTCTTTTTTTCTAGCTTCTCTGATAGTCATCTGGAAAGGCTTGGGCACAGTAACTTTTGGTGACCATGCTTTCTGTTTCTTCCGTATCATTCTGAAGGCTGGTGAGCTTGGTAAGCTGCGTTTGGTGTGAGAGATGTAGTCTTCCACAGAGAACCCGTCCCACATTTTTTCGATCCGTTGCTTAGCAAATGCAGATGATCCAGTTTCACTACCATTTTCTTCAAATGCTAATTCTCTGTCAGACCTATCAGATACACTTGAGCCTAAGGGATCACTTAAGTCAGAGTCTGAAAAGGATTTGTGTAAATTTAGAGGCTGATATGAGCTCTTCTCCCAAGTTGGCCTTTAAAAAAAGGAAAAAAAAAGTTGGTTTGGGTCCAGTCCAACATGGATGCAAAGCCAGTAACTTCCACTTTAAGGTATCATCATTGGAAACAAAAATGAACAGCACTGGCAGGGAAGAGGAGAAGGGAAAAGAGAAGCACACTGAGCACTCACACCAGATCATAGTTTTAAGTAGGTGCCAATCCTGAACAAGTCAGTACTTCTTAAAGAAAGGCACCATGCTTTACTAAACCTGTTGCCCAGTCTCTGCTGTGCACACGCTTGTAAATCTCACAGTCTGTTAGCAAGGTGAATAAGCATTTTTGTTATTAAAACTAACTTTTCTGTGATTATCTGCTTATAGGAAATGGGGAGAGTAACACTTTCCAGTCCCAGAAAAAAACCTGCTGTTTTACAGATGTCTGCAAAGCATTTGAGAATCTTCAGATAAAAGGTACCACCAAACTTACCTACAACACACGTTAAAAGCAGCACTTTTCTTGTCCAAGGGCTGTACTCCTTTTAAATACAGTTTATTCCGATACATGCTTTCTAATTTTGCCATGGTCTCCAAGTGGGCATTCTTCAATTCTTCTAACTTCAAGTAATATTCTTGATTTGAATTGCACATTTTGGAAAAGTCTATCCACTTGTCACAGTCCCTATTTAGAGAGAGTGTCTGCTCTCTGTCAGTATTGGAATCCAAATCAAAACCATCCTAGAAGAGATGTTTGTAAAGCTTTCTGACTGTTAAAAGAAAGGGGAACAAGGTTCTTAATATTGCTTTATCCTAATTAAGTCTAATGAACGATACAGTAACACCAAACAGAGGTACCTGTATACAAATGTTAGTGCAGTTACATGGAATAATCTTATTGCATAATGATTTATATCCTAAGGGTCCTATTTAAAGCATGTGAAGTTCCTAAGTCTGTCCCTGTAATCAATACATTTATACCAGGAAATATGATCAAAAGGACTTATCAAAAGAAAACAGTTTAACTATTTTGTAAAGTGTAATTTTTCCTTGATTACCATGCAGCTTTAAAAAAGCCTTTCTTTAAAAGCAAACACAAGCACAACAGAACCTTCTCTGCCTCCCATTTCCGTAAGCATTCTAAAAATAAGTCATTAGATATGTTGTGTAAAAATGTTTATTCCCATTTCCATAGCTTACTGTGAAGTGACAGGAATTCTGCACAGCTTATAGTTCCAATACTGTCTGGCAGCTTGCAGCTGTGTGCAGGTAAGCACATTCTTTAAATGTTTTAAAGCTTACACAAGTTAGAGAAGTTACTAAAACCAGGTCAGTCGGCATTACAAAGGCTTCCTTTACGTTATTTTAACCACCACGTTTTAAAAAATTACAGGACCCTTTCTTTATCCAAAAATTAGAATAATACTTTTCCACACAGAGGCATTTTAATAAGCTCTGACATTCCAACAAAAAGTTGTGTTCATGTTTTTGTCAGCTTTTCACTGCAAAGATCTGTAACTCGTTTTTTGCATAGCATAGTGACCTAATGCAACATGAATTACATGAGCAAAGAAGCAAACTTAAAACGCTGCTACGGGACGCCCAGCGAAAGGCACCATCCACCTCCTGAACCTGCCGCTTCTGACATTGTGCATAGCCCTCCCGCTTTCCGTTCTCGATCCGCAGAACGATCCGGGCCTCTTCCCTGGGCTCGGGCATCGCCAGTTCTTACAGTCGCGCTTCGACGCCCGGGGCGTAACAGCTCACGAAGAGGCCGCTGGCGCCCGGGCGCGGCAGCAGGACCCTCTGTCAGCTTCCGCCCCGTCTGCGCGTGTGCGCGCTTGGGCCGCGGGTCACTGCCGAGAGGGGCGAAAACCTGCCGGCACAAGGCTGCTTCGGCTCCCGGGGCCGCCGGGGGGGGGGGCCCCCGCCTCTCCAGGGCGGGTTTGCGGGGCAAGGGCACGCGGCCTGCGGAGCCGGTACGGCCGGGTTAAGGCCAGCCCGTCCCCCCGCCTCAGGCCTCCCGCCCGCCCCCCCCGCTCGCCTGACGACCGCCAAGGGCGCTTCCCGCTTCCTACCCGCCCCC